ACAAAAAGAGTGCTCAATAACAAATTTAATTGATAGAGCAAAATATACTAATTATGATCTTAAAATTTTATTAATCGCTACACAGTGTTTCACGCTTTCAAAGCGATCTTCAGGCGATACTACTCTAAATAGTTTGCTTGCGCCATTTGAATGGCGCAAGCAAACTATTTAGAGTAGTATCGCCTGAAGATCGCTTTGAAAGCGTGAAACACTGTGTAGCGATTAATAAAATTTTAAGATCATAATTAGTATATATATATATATATATATATATATATATATAATGTCAACTTAGCACACGTAATTAAATTATTTTTCAGATTATTGGTAATACAATATACTCGCTTCATTTCAACATGTACTTGCCCCTGCTAGGACGCATGGTAGCAGGATTTGGAGAAGGATATTTGGGCAGAACTAGGCAGAATCACAACTGAGGAAGAACGTACTCGATACTTTGCACTACTAAAAGTAAGCTTCTTTTTGGGAGTTGTCTTAGGACCAGCACTAAACGTCTTCCTAAAAGAGTTTGATTTCTACATCGGTAACTGACACATTGATTTCCGCACATCCCCGGGATTTTTCATGGCTTTAATGTGGACACTAGCTACTGGTATCATGTTTGTATTTGTCTATGATCTCTCAGACGAGATGAGAAAAGAAAGAGGGTATGAACCAGTTTCAGACAGTCTAAGTGAAGAACGGTTTTCCAAAAAAGAGCAACTCCTAGAAGCGTATAGCATGGAAAGCTCAGAGGACAAACACGGTGATATGACGTCATCTCCGTTCACAAATAACGACGTTGTCAAAACCGAGGAAATAGCAAAAGACGACAAAAGTGTATTCCCAGACGGCTCAACGAAATCCTGCAGTGGGTCATTCCGAGATGCTCTAATAGATATGTTTGCCAAATTTCCCGTGATTATAGTGGTATACACGACAATTTTCCTTTTTATGCTCCATACATCTCTCCAAGCCATCACCCCCCTGGTTGCTGAGCGCATGTTACACTGGAGTGAAGACAACGTCACTTTTCTATTTACAATCTGGGGTGTAGAAATTACCATTTGTTTAATTATTTTCTTCATTCTGTCAGCAAAAATTTCAGACCGACTCGTCCTTTTGACGTCCGCTATTTTCGGTACCCTTTCATCTGTGGGTGTTATTCTGCTGGCGTCCTCTTCCCCGATGTCTTATAGAGCTTATTATAGCTTGTTGGTAACAGTTGCCTTGGATGGGATGTCATCAACTGCTGTTAGTGCAGTTAATCGTTCTTTAGTTTCGAAGCACACCAATCCAGACAATCAAGGCAAGGTGCAAGCCATAATGACTGTATTGAACAGGCTGGCTTTACTTACAGGGCCATTAGTTGGTAGCAGTCTATTTACACATCAAAAAATATTTGCAGTTATTCTATCAGGATCACAGATCCTTGGATTGGTCTTGGTTATTCTAGTTTTCAAAAAACTTAAAGTTAATCTCAGTGAAGGTTAACGGGTTCTTAATAACATACCGAGCATGTACATGTTCAGGAAATTGATACTATTTTTCAATTAAAAGTGATATTTGTAGGGGATCTTTCAATTATACAAATATTCTTCATGAAGTTATCGTGTTACCACGACAACAACTTTAAATACTTCATGTTCGTAAAATATAATGGTTTTGTCAGTAAGGCGAGAGTTTCTGCATGCATGCATGTACTTTTTCTAGTTAAAATTTTGAAGAACGAAGCAAGCTATAGTTTGGAAAAATATCTTATTTGGTCAATGGGAGGCTTCCAAAGGAGGGTGGGGTGTCAAAAGGTGGGTTAACAAGGCGTGCAGGGTGATGATAAACACGGAAAGTTCCAATATTTAGTTTTAATCAGGGCCGTACATAGCGGGCGGAGGGGGGGAGGGGGCAGGGGGGTAAACTGCCCCACAATAGAAAACTATATTTACGATTTTTAGAATGTCATTATTTATTAGATATTGACTGAGGCCGACGGTATTATTGGATATATTGCAGCCATATATATGGCTGCAATATATCCAATAATGTCAGTTGACCGAAGTAATTATCTATTATAACTAGTGACCCGAATCAAAAGTAATCATTTTCGACTGGAAGATTACGTTGCTGCTTGTCAGGACCGTATGACAATGATGCACTTCAATGCATCGTGATAGAACAGATTTCAATTTCAATTATTAATCGCCCTAAATCAAAATCTCCACCAATAATTCAAACGTTGGTCAAATTTGGTCAAAATGGAACTGATATTTGCCCAAATTTGGTCAAAATGAAACTGATATTTGCTTAAAATTGAAGGTAAAACTCGGAAAAATTTGGTAAACGTTTGGGATAAAAGATGGTCGAAGTAGGTCGAAGTTAAATCTTTTCTTATGTTTGCGATGAAAAAATTGGGAGCATGGTTATCTTGGTCGAAAAATTTTGAATATGCCTATATATGTTAGTCCGGAAAATAATTTTTGACTATGCTTATGTTAGTCCGGAAAATGTTTTTGACTATGTTTTTGACTATGTTTATATTAGTCGGAAAATTTTTTTTACCCCCTTCCCCCCCCCCCGTCGACAACATTTTCGGGAAAAATTTGGACGACTTGGTCAAAATCCTGGAGATGTTGGTCAAAACATAACGATACCCAGAAAAAAATTAGGGGAAAAAAATCTTCCCAGGCATAGTGCAAAAAAAAAATTCCTTCCTTGGAAGATAGGCCTATAAATTTCAATTGAAAAAAAAATTTCCAGCCATCAAGTGAGAAAAAAATATATTTCTTCTATAGGTGTACAAAAAAAAATATATTGCCTCTTAGAAAATCCCCCCCCCCCCCA